ACACTGAAGACTTGTTAACCGCCTAGTCCCAGGGACCCCCTGTCTCTGCCTCCCAAGACCTTAGATTAGAGATGAACCACCAGGCTTTCATAGCTTACCAGAGACAAATTTCCTCCAAGGAGGCTAAGTACCCCCCAAGCAGGGCCATCAACTGAAAGTTGAGTATTCAAATATCCAAGATTATTGAGGACATTTATCATTAGCCACAGACATGGAGCCATCATCTTAATGACTGGTGACACTGACCTTGGTCACTGGCGGAGGAAGCATTTTTCAAGCCTCTCAACTTTGAATCTATTTCATTTATCCTTTCCAAAAATGTGTACTTTAGGAAGGAGTCAGCAGGTTCAGCCCAGCCTTTGGGCCTGAGGAGTTGTGTTGTTCATCTAGTCTTTGGATTGATGCTTGTTGCAGTGTAGGGTCAGTTTTCCAGGGGCCACATCATTAAACAAAATGGAGTCCCGCTCTCCTAGAAGCTATGAAATGCCAATAGATCCTCAGTTAATGGTGGCAACACTCCCTCCTCTACAATGGAATATTTTTCTAGCTGGAGTTTGAACAGGTTTCGTTCATGATTTCAGAGTCTCCATGAATTTGTAAGTTTATCTGGCCTGTTGTGTCTGGAGAACACTGTTTATTTGAAATCATCCACCACATCTGGCTCTTAAGAATCTTTGTGGCTGGGTGGTGGTGGCACATGCCTTTAATCCCAGCACTTGGGAGGAAGAAGCAGGCAGATCTCTGTGAGTTCGAGACCAGCCCGTTCTACAAAGCTACACAGAGAAACCCTGTCTCAAAAAAAAAAAAAAAAAAAAAAAAAAAAAAAGATAAAAAGAAGAAAAGAATCTTTCTGCCTCTTCTGAAAAGACCCCCGTGTCTTTGGAGGAGGGGTGTAACATGAACAACCACAGTATTTTTTTGCCTTCAGTGACCAGTTGAGGGTTTCCTCGTTGATTGCTGTCTACTGCAAGAAGAGGCTTCCCTGATGAGGGATGAGAAATTTTCCCATCTACAGGTGTGGTAAAAGGCCATTCTTTTAATATTATGTCCACTTGGCAAAACATTAATGGATTATCCCATGGGGCCTATGACCTATCTAGCCCCAGATTATTCTTGGAACCTTTCATAGTGCTAGGTATGGGTTCCATATCATCCTGTGTGGATAGACACACAGACCGTTTCCAACTATGGTTATTACAAATATAGATATATTGGACAGTCTTTCATAGTTCTTGTGGCAGAAAGATGTCTTCATGGGGATGGTGTTTGACACAGGGTTCCTCTGTGTAGCTTTGGAGTCTTTCTTGCAACTCAGCTTTGTAGACCAGGCTGGCCTAGAACTCAGAGTTCCACATGCCTCCGCCTCCCGAGTGCTGGCATTAAAGGTGGCACTACCTACCACTGCCTAGCAGATATCTTCATTTTTCCCTGAAAAAAAAATAAACAGTTAAGAGTAGACTTACCAGATCAAAGGGTAGGAGTTCTGCAGAGAAATAACACAAATGAGGCGGATGGATGGATAAATAAACATATAGAGAGACAGACCCCAGTCCTGTTACCAAGTTCTGTATTAGTTACCTTTGTTATTGTGAGCAAGGCAACTTACCAAAGGGAATTTTTGTTTGATCTTAGGATTCTAGAGAGAGAAGCTGTACTGTCAGAGGGCACAGGTGCATGGCAGCAGGAGGCTGGAGCAGGAAGCTGAGAGACTACTATTCACTTGCAAGCATGAAACAAAAAAGCAACCTCTCAAAACCCAGCCCCTGTGATGGACTTCCTCCAGCAAGGCACCACCTCCTGAAGGTGCCATAACCTCCCCGAAACAGCACCACTAACCGGAGGTCAAGTGTTCAAGTCCATGAACCTACAGGGGTACATTTCTCAATCAACGTACCACAGACAGACAGATGATAGATAGATGATCAATAGATGATAGATACATACATGAATGAAGGCATGCATACATACATATGTAGATAAATACATAGATACAAAAATAGATGGAAGGAAATTCATTATGAGAATTGGCTCAAACAACTACACCAGTGAGAAGCCCCACAATAAGATGTCCTCTCTCTCTGGAGACCCAGGGAAGGGAGAGGTTGGCTTCACCTTGAGTCTGAAGGCCAGGTGATCAGGTGCTCAAGTGTCCTACAGTAGGAGAAGAGGACGTGAATCTTCTCTGTTCTAACCCTCAGTAGATTTGGGGGGGAGGTGCACAAATCTTAGATCTGTGTGATGGGTTAAAATCTAATCTCCAACAAGCACTCTCAGACATACCTAATGGGAATAATGAAATAACATTGCACCAGCAATCTCTGTATTCCCCCCTCCCCCCCCACCCCCAGCCAACCAGGCAAGTTAGCACTCTAGCATCTGGACTCACACCAGGTAGCTCGGCTGTGAGGTCTGCCCGGAGCTGTCCATCATTTGAGCCTATGCTTGAAGGTCACCCACAAGGCAGGAAGAGACATTTAAGCAACCGTTCCTTCCCATCACACACTCAAATAGAGTACTTATTTAAATTGTTATTAGCATTTACCCTTTGTACACAGCAATGGGTTTCGTAATATTTTCAGCCATAAATATAAATATAATCTAGGCCCACATATGACAGGAAAGACATGATATTTGTCCTTGCAAATCTGGTTTTATTTCACTGGAAATGATGACCTCCAGCGCCGTCCAATTTCTCGCAAGTAGTAATTCACAGATTTTACAGCTTTATAACGTGTATACAGACCACGGTTTTTCTTTCTTTCTTTATTTATTTTTCTTATTTTACATATCAATTCCAGTTCCCCCTCCCTCCCACCCTCCTGTCCCATTCCCCCCTCATACTCCACAGGTAGGGTGATACCTTCCAGGAGGGCAGACCACTTTTTTTTTTTTTAAATCCATTCACCTGTTGATGGACACCGGGGTTGTCTCTGTCACTTGACAACTCTACCTGAGGCTGCAGTAAACATAGATGTGTAGGTGTCTCTGCAGTACACTGACTTAAATACTCCCCTTTCCCTAAAGTTACACGCCATGCTTGCAGTCCTTACCCATTGCATGAACTTAGGAGGGCCAGGTCACTCGCTTTTGGGAACACAAAGCAAGTACCTGAAGCAGAGCAGGCACCCTACTGTGTGTGAGGCACATAGGGAAACGTATCATAGTTGAATCCACTTAGTGAGGACCCTACTATGTGCTAGAAATAGGGTGCAGGACTTCGCGGTCTCTCCAGGAACCGCCACCTACCTGATTAGCCAGCGAGGCTCCTAGAGTCTTGGTGAGTTCCTCAGCCAAGACTTACTTGTTCTCACCTTCTGTCAGGGACAGCTGGGCAGGAGGGCTCCCTGGAGGAGGCACAGTATTGCCTCTCCTGGGATGTTCTCCCACTTCTCCGGCTCAGCATCATCACGCCCCCCTCTTCCTCCGCTCGCCCCTTGCATGCCAGCGAGGCACGGAGCCTGGCTAGACCAGAGCTTGCAGACCAGCCAGCACCAACCCACACACAGGCTTTATTTGGCCCACACAGTCGTGTGTGTGTGTGTGTGTGTGTGTGTGTGTGTGTGTGTGTGTATGTGTGTGTGTTTAAATATGAATCCATTCTAACATTTAAAAGCTGAGGGATTTTGCTTTTAAAATATCCAGATTTCTGTCTTCGTTTGGAAATTTGGAACATCTGGTGAGGCTGGGTCCCTCTTTTCCACATGGCCAGCAGCACTGGCTGAAACTAAATGGCACTAGCCACGTGGTCAAAGACAGCTACCCTACACCCAGCCTGAATCAACTAACGTCTGTCAGACCCGAGGTCACTTGGGAATGGTGTCCCCATCTGGGGACTCTAGAAACCCACAAGGACCATCCGGGAAAAATCCCTCCATATCTCTTCCAGAAGAAACAGACAGGGTACAATGCTGGGGTGGGGAGGGCAAGCCGAAAGACCTGTATCCCAGGGTACCACAAATCTCTGATACAATAGGACAGGTGTCTCGAGTTTAAATCAATACAGGCTAACACCCCCCCCCCAAACAGGCTGACTCCTGGACAGAACCACACATCCAAGGGGCAGAGGGATGGAGGCAAATGGGAAAGAGGTACAGAAAGAGACGCAATCGTTCACGATGTCTCCGTGTCTCTGTCTCTCTCGCGCGCGCGCTCTGTCTGTCTGTCTCTCCCTCCACTTCTTACCAACCCGAACAAAAATGCAGGGAAGGGATGAGAGGACCTTTTACTCCCTGCAATACCGGGTACTTCAGGGGCAAAGACTAGCCCTTTCCACACACCAGCAGGGGCCTTTAAACAGCACCCTGGGACCGTTAGTTCTAGGTCACACAGCGAAGGCCCTGGTGATGATGTCACGGTGGTTGGGTCCCCTCCAGGTTCCCTATACCCCCTTCCTCGTCTGTCTGTTTGACTTGAGAAGACACCTTGAAAACTTTCAAGGGACAAGGGACAGAGTCAATGGGCAGAAGTCTCAAAGACCTGAGAAATCACCCGGTGGGGATGAGTTCCTATATGGGTAACAGGCGTCCTTTCACGAAGTGGGTGGGGTCCTCCTGTAAGCACACAGCTCCGACAGGTCTTTAAACACATTCTGGAAGGGTCTGTCCACGCAGGAAGTCTAGAAACTGTCCTTATACAGGTTAAGGACAAAGTGGGAGAGGGCTTTTATCCGAGCACAAGCGCTCTTTACTACAAAGAACACCCTTAGAAAAGTGCAGAATTTTCACAGGTGCGCTTGGCTATTACCTGCAAAATGCTGCTCAAATACTGATGACCTTTACACCAAGGTGAAGGTTTTACATAAGAGTAAGGAGCTTGTGCGCTTCGAAGAGAAATCACAGTATCCGGGCTCTTGTACCTAAGGGGACAAGGAAGGTTAGTCGATTTTGTTCTCAGAATTGCCCGGCACCCTGGATACCACTGAGTTGAGCAAAGACCCTGCACCTGCTCAGGCAGCAGGTGGGAGCCTGGGAGAGGGCGGAGCAACTGGGTCCACTGCTCACGCCGCATTGCCTCCGGTGGCCGCCAGGGGCAGCACCGAGGAGCCTGGTGCACCTCCCCCTCCCCAATCTCCACCCCCCGCCCTCCGGGCTCCTGCTCCCGGGAGCCCCGCAAACCCCGCTCCGCCCGCGCCCCGCACAGCACCGAGGCTCCCGGCCGGGTCCGCCCAGCTGCCCCTCCCCGGGGTCATGGGGGCACCCCCGGGCTACCGACCCTCTGCCTGGGTGCATCTCCTCCACCAGCTGCCCCGCGCCGACTTCCAGCTCCGACCGGTGCCCAGCGGTTTTGCGCCCCGCGACCAAGAGTACCAGCAGGTGGGATGGCAAACAGGGCTCAGGTCCCCGGGAACAGGAGGCTGGATTACTGTTCCTGCGTCTTGGGGACTGGGGACCCGGCCTGCGTTTGGGGGTACAAGAGAAAGATTGGAGGTAGAGAGCTCATACCTTGAGGTTTTCCCCTTTGGACGTGCTCTTGGGGTGCAGATCCCCCCTCTCCCTAATTAAGAGAAAGCCAGGAGCCTAGACCACCAAGAGTCCTACACGGGAGGAGATGAGGCCCCGGCATTTGGGTTCCTGCGACCTGCCTTGGAAGCCAGTCTCCAGGGTCATCTAAGGAAAGGTCCACTCTTGAGGTCCTAGGCAAGAAGGACCCCGCCCCCACAGGATCTCCGCTAATAAATATGTCCCAGATAAGGGGGTACCCAAGAGGGGACCCAAGAGCGGGAAGCCTTGGGAGGCAGCCGAGGTCTGGGACAGGGATTGATACCCTCAAATACGAAAGAGAGATTTTAAGGGCTGGGGCTAGGGGATGAGGTGAGGTGAGGATTCAGGGTGCTTCCTGCCTGTCCCAGGGCAGAAGGGGCTGTCAGGGCGCCAGAGAGGATCGTGTGGAGATGAGGCTAGGTTTGGGGCTACTGAAGACCACAGGCCTGGGTCCCAGGAGGATAAGGCTGGTGGTGGTGGAACCTCACCGAAGCTGGGTCCCCAGGGAAAGGGGCCCAGCTGAAGCTCTAGGGGGACTGGGGGATGGCTGTCCCCTGACCCAGTTTAATTCAAGTCCTTGACTTTGAGATTAATGAGAAAAGCTTGGCTGAGCTGGGGGCCTGACCGGGAGGGGGGAAGGGTGTAGCGGCTGGGAGTCAGCCCTACCCTACCCCGAAGTCTGAACCCCTGCCGGCTGTCCAGGGTGGCTTCTGGGAAAGGGGCACAGGGTTGGGAGAGCTTCGAAGGAGGGGGGTGTTCCCAGAAAAGCAGCAAGGGGGAACGTGTGCTGTGTGCTTGCTATTTGGGTCATGGCTGGCACAGCCTGAGCGGCTCCTCCCTGCCTACTCCACCGCCCCCTCTCCCCTCCAAACGGGGACCGCCATCCCCTCTCCCACAGCCACTTATACAATCACAGCCTCCAGCCGGTGGGTCCACCCACTCCCAGCCAGACTCACGGGGCTTATGGCTCTGGAGAGCGCCTCAGCCACGAGGAATCCCACCCGTGGGGCCCTAGCACCAGCACAGACGCCCAGAACAGTCCACTCAAACTTGATCCGCAGCAGTAAAGCTGGGGCACACACAGTCCCATCCCCGGGACATTTTCCCATGGAAATGACCACCATGAACACAGAAAGACACACTACCAGGTACTCTGGGTCAGGATCTTCAAGATCACGTGCCCAGTAACATATACATAGCGCGCTGGTATGTACACCATCACACACACATTCACAAACTCACTGCAAGTCACATATATTCACACACACTCGCATAGTCCACTGGACACCACTCGCCGATTGAAGAAGCCCACACGTGTTGTCTTGCACACAGAGATGCAGCATGATGTACACAGACACCGTATACGTACACTCCATGTGCCCTCACCTGGTGGAAGGCAAATTCACAGCCACATAAACACAGCCCACACTTGTCACTCGCGCAGGTGATGCGGAGGACTGCAGAAGGGCTATGGTTTCTGGACAGTAGTCCCTGGCAATGCAGGGCCAGGATTCCAGCCGCATGCTGCTCTTATCCTGCTGTATGGCTCCAGCGCTGGGCCTGGGAGAACACAGGTGACTCAGGTCTCCTGAAAGAGCCAACCCCATGCAGAGCCTACAGTTCTGTAATATGCCTGAGACACAGACTCGTTCTGTGGTCTGGGCTGGGTGGAGTTTATGTAACTTAGTCTGGCCTGAAGTTGTAGCAATCTTCCTGCCTCAGCATCCAGGGTGCTGGGGTTACAGGGGCGTGCTGCCATAGCAAGCTCTAAGCCACCCTGTTGTGCAAGGTGTTCCAGCTGTTAGCATCCTTTCTGCCCACCTTTCCTTTCCTGCATCCTTTGGTTCTCACTACACACCACCCTGTCATTCTTGTCCTTTTATTTCCTGTAGTCCTTTTTCTGTATAGTTTCTCTCCGTGTGTCTCTTCATCTCTCTGTCTTTGTCTCTCTTTCTCCCCTATCTCTGGCTTGATTCCTCTGGTGTTTTCTGTGTCTTATCTCTGCATCCCTCTTTTTGCCTTCGTCTCTTTCCTTGTCTGCCCCTTTCTGTGTCTTCCTCTCTGTGGCTGGATGTGTCTTCCTTCCCTAGCTCCATCTCTGAGCCTTGTGTGTATGTGTCACACACACACACACACACACACACGCTGTCACAGCACCCTGTCCCCATCCCCAGCCTTGGGGGTGACAGACTCCACTGCAATGGGTGTGTGAGCTCAGCAGCAGGAGGGAGATGGGGGGCAGAGCTGCTGCCTCTCTTGCTCTCCTGAAGAACAGAAACAGGAGCCTTCCTCGGGAAGCCCTTGGGACATGGTGCATTCCAATTGCCTGGTTGCAGTGGGTTGGAAATGGAGGCTTAGAGAGGGGAGGACCGTTTTGAGGACATACAACCTGGGAAGAACTGACAGGAACCCCAAAACCTGGGCCCTCTATTTGGATGCTGCCTCCAGCATCCCTAAAGTCTGGATGGGCCTCAGCTGCCAATAAGAGAGAGAAGAGGTATCTAAGGTTTTTTCCCCCACAACCTGAGTACCATCAAGCGCTGGGCTTCGCCCCCCCCCCATGCAGCAGAGCAGGAACTTCTTATCTGCCATGTGAACGTGCCCTCTGAGGCTTCTTATCACCTCTTCCTCAGGCCCTACTGCTGGTGGCAGCCTTGGCTGGGCTGGGTTTGGGCCTGAGCCTCATCTTCATCGCCGTCTACCTCATCCGTTTCTGCTGCTGCAGGCCCCCAGAGCCCCCTGGGGCCAAGAGTCCCCCACCTGGAGGAGGCTGCGTCATCTGGAGCTGCATCGCTGCTCTTCTCGTGGGCTGGTAATGGGGCCCCAGGGTGGGTGGGGAGTGGAGACAGAGCCCCCTGCACTTGCTGTTAGCCTTCTTCAAGACACCTTGGGATGTGGGCCCAGAGTTAGGAGAGAAAGAGAATCCGTAGGGCCGGAAGCACCAAGAGGACGAAGCCTGGGAGTAGAATTGAAAGCCTGGGACATGGTTCCGGGTTTTAATAGTTCCCTCATCAGCTAGGGGAGTGAGATGCTCACCCTAGACCTTAGTTTCCATATCTATAAAGTGGATTTTGCAGTACTATCCAAACCCTAGTTACACTAATGCTAGAAAGTGCACAGTGCCTGGGCCCTGGGGGTGTCCTTTGTGTTAACACTGATCAAAGAGTCATTCATTCACAGAGCTCATTCATTCAACAAATGAGCATAACTACCCTACCGTGTGCCAGACACCGAACATGCCAGCCTAGGCACTCTGTGACTTCAGCCAGAGTCCCAGTCAGGGGGACAGTCAGACCTTGCAGCAGCACCTGCTCAGCCCACAGCCAAGCTGGGCTCAAGATGGGCCACACTTGTGGTTCTGAATGAGGAAAGATCAGGGAGGGAGGGCATATCACTTTTCAAGCGGAGATACAGACTCAGGGAAAAAGAACCCCCTAGAACCCTCAAAAGGAACTTCAGTGAACTTGACACCAAGATTGCTAGCTCTGAGTCCAGCACCTCCTAGGTCATGGTTAGCTATCTGACTTACATCACACATGAGAGTCCTCAGGACTTGAGGGTGCTGGGACCCGCTGGGGGCCTCAGGCATGGTCAACGGGAGTCCTGTAAGGATGTGGTGTCCCCTCCAGCCAGCAGGGGCTATGGCTGGGAGTAGTCACCCAGTCTGGGCTCTGGGCCACTCTTATTGTAGGAAGAAGGGGGTGTGTGTTTGGGAGTATATGGGGGTTGGGCGCCCTATATCCAAGATGTTTTCTCATCAAGCTCTCGAGAATGGGGGTGGGTGGGGGAGGCTGACAAAGGCCCAGTGGGGGAGAGAAACAGCCCCAGCCCCCTCAGAGTCTGGGAACAAGAGGAGCTTTGTAGGGTTCTGAACAATGGGGCAGGGGCAGTAGGCTCCCATCCAAGGGATGGGGTAGGGGCCTGCTAGCGCAAGGCTGGGAACTGTGAGGGCATCAGGCTCTCGCCCCCTCCGGTGTGAGGGCGCACAGACTCAGGGAAGAAAGTGGGCTCCCATATTCAAGCTCTACAATGGGAGTCTGTGTGTTGGCTGGGCAGGGACAGGGGCCCAGCTCCTGGCCTGGCCTGCAGCCCTGCCTCCCACATTCTCTTACTCTTCTTCCAGCTGGCCAGATGCCTGGATCCCTGGGCAGCACAGGGGAAGGCAGAGAGCTCCAGGCACAATGTCTCTTACGAAAGAATAGGGCTAGGGGCCTTATGCTCCCAAGAACCTTTAGGAGGCAGGGTCAAGGAACACCTGGGCTAGCAAGAGGCAGATGTTGATGACCTAATGACTCCTCAGACAAGGATGTGAATTCTGGGCGTTTTGGCAAAGGATGGAGTAGTCGGTCGTGAGCTGATCATAATTAGGAATTGATAACCTTTTATCCAGGGCTGGGCAAAACCAGGGTTCCATTCTGGGGTGGTGCGAGTTAAATCTGGGGCCCCTTCTTTTCCACCACTCCACCCACCATTAGCATCACAATGACGTCTCTCCAGCTTGGGGGGGGGCGGGGAGGAGTGAGGTCCTCAGGTTACCTTGGCAACCGGTGGAGGCCAACCTTGAGCTGTTCTTTTTCCCACGGAGGATGAGCCAATAGGGTGGATGCAGAGATTGGATAGGCAAATACAGCAAAGGGGAGGACGGGGGTGTGTGGAGGCACGGTGCCTGCCCTCCAGGGTCTGAGACTGGTTGGTATTTCTTCCTCCTTCTTCTCTCAGTGCGGGCATTGGCATTGGTTTCTATGGCAACAGCGAGACCAGCGATGGGGTGTCCCAGCTCAGCTCAGCACTGCTGCACGCCAATCACACGCTCAGCACCATTGATGACTTGGTGAGGGGGCCAGCCGCTAGCCAGACTGCAGACTCATAACCCCCCAATTGGTCTCCACATGGGGACGGGGTCCCCCGCTGAAGAACAAAAGGAACCCAAATCAAAGCAGATCCCAGACCAGAAACCTAATCCCCAGAGGCAGACCTGCAAACATGAGATTTTATGTTCAAACCCAGCCGTGCAACCTGCAGCTGGATCTTGAAGATTCGGATCCAGACTGAAGACTCACATCCAGGCCCAGACCTGCACTTCAGTTTATATCCCAAGCCCTAGACAAAACACCGAGGACCCCAGTCCCTGTGTTCAGGCAGGATCCAAAGCACAGACCCTGTCCTTGGCCCGAATGCAAGCTCAGGGACTGGCACTGTTAGATCTTGTACTCCAGGATTCCAGCGCTCAGGGCTGAGATGCAGGTGTTGCAGGTCTGAGCCTAGCTGTGTAGAGACAAGAAATCAGACTTGAGAACCCAGACTGAGAAAGGCTTATGCAGACTCAGGATGGGCCCTTCCATTTGGACTTAATTTCAATGTGCTCCTGACCAACTACAGCAGATGATAAGACCTTTCCCCCAGTCTTTGGATGCCCCAGAAGCCCCGATTTCAGGCAGCTGACACTCCTCACCCAAGCCCCCAACCCTAGGCTTTGGAAAAGCCATCCCAAACCTGAGACCATGTCATCTCCCCAGGTGCTGGAAACAGTGGAGAGGCTGGGTGAGGCAGTGGGGACCGAGCTGACCACCCTGGAGGAAGTCCTGTCGGAACGTGTGGAGCTGGTGGCCGCCACCCGGGGAGCCCGGAGGCAGGCTGAGGCTGTGGCTCAGCACTTGCAAGGACTGGCCTTCTGGCAAGGAGTGCCCCTCAGCCCAGTGCAGGTGGCTGAAGATGTGACTTTTGTGGAGGAATACAGGTGGGAAAGGGGATCTCCTAATTTTTCTTTTTAAGCATTGTAGTCTCAAACTAGTCCCTGGGTGGGGCCGTGGGACAGTACCTGGAGACAGTTTTATTTGTCCCACCGGTTGGAAGCTACGCTACTGTCACCTGGTGGGTGGAGACAGGGATGCTGTCAGCTTCTTGTAGGCCAGTCCCTCTGTGGAGAATTACCCACTTGTGAATGTAAGGCAAGGCTGATAAACTCAGCTGTGAGGATGGACCTCGAGACTGAGGACCCATTCCTCATACTTACATACTCCCTCAATGATCTCCTCTCTCATTCATTCATTCATTCATTCACTCACTCACTCACTCAGCCATTCCTTACATTCATTCAGCAAATCAATCATATTACACACAGTTTCTCTTGGACCAGCCCAGTAGCAAACCTACCTACTGCTTAACATCTGGTGAGAGATGTGATTAGGACCCTCAGCTTCAGGAGGCCACTGTGCATTTGTACACACTTCATTCCATCCCGTGGCCTTGGTTTTCCTACCTTAAAATAAGCCCTGCCATGCACAGCTCAAAAAGACTCACTGGATTGTTGTGAGGTAGTTAATAACATTGAGCATCTGGGTGGTGGTGGTGCACACCAATAATCCAGTACTCAGGAGGCAGAGACAGGTGGATCTCTGTGAGTTCGAGGCCAGCCTGGTCTACAGAGTGAGTTCCAGGATAGGCTCCAAAGCTGCAGAGAAACCCCATCTTGAAAAAATCAAAACAAAGAACACACAATGACAGATTAAACAATGCCAGGAAAATGCAGATATGCCAACCAGTGGGAATAATACAGGAAATCCCAGGGAGGAGGGGCAGGGGAGATCCATGTGGAACAGGCTCACAAAGCCAGATCTGGTGCTATAGGCCTGTAATCTCAACTACTCTGGAGCCTGAGGTAAAAGGGTGGAAACTCAAGACCCAGCCAGGCAGTGGTGGTACACATCTTTAATCCCAGCGGCAGCGGCAGGCAGATGTCTGTGAGTTCAAGGCCAGCCTGGTCTACAGAGTGAGTTCCTGGACAAGTTCCAAAGCTACAGAAAAATGCAGTTAAAAAAAAAAAAAAAGAAAGAAAGAAAGAAAAGAAAAGAAAAAAAGAAAGAAAAGAAAACTTGGCCTACAGACTAATTTCAAGGGCAGCCTGAATAACTTAGTGAAACATTGTCCCCAACAAAAGAATAAAATATAGGCTGTGGATATGGATAGCAGAATAATATTTGCCTAGAATTGACTGGCGAGGGACTGAGAGTGTGACTGCCAGGTAAAACACCTGCCTAGAATCCCCCAGTGAGGGGCTGGGGCGTGGCTCAGTGGTAGGGCCCCTGCCTAGAATCCCCCAGTGAGGGGCTGGGGCGTGGCTCAGTGGTAGAGCCCTTGCCTAGAATCCCCCAGTGAGGGGCTGGGGCGTGGCTCAGTGGTAGAGCCCCTGCCTAGAATCCCCCAGTGAGGGGCTGGGGTCTGGCTCTGAGAAAACACTTACCCGGAGTCCACGACTGAGGAGTTGGGAAGCATGACTTGGGTAGAGTTGCCGACCTAGCGTGTGAGGCTGTACACTCACAGAAGCATCAAAGGGGAGCTGCGTGGTGGTGGTGGGTGGGCACAGACCTTCGCATGTGTCCATTTGTTCACCTGGCAACAGATTTTGAAGTTGATCCCCTTATGCCACTTGTGTTACCGGTAGGGAAACTGAGGCAAATAGGTCGGTCACAGTGGCTAAATTAAGTGATTGAGACCTAGACATGGTACCTCTGAAGTGTGCAATATGGCCCAGGGTGGATGACGACACCCTACAGTGCTGGCCCGGGGGTCCTATTCAGAGACAGTAGAACTTCTGTGTGATTTGGTCAGAGTAGGCTCCCAGGTGCCCCGACTCCGGAACCCATGCCGCAGAACACTCCACAGGCTTCGGGAGAACGCAGGGTCAGGTTGGGCTGGGGTGGGTCTGAGGTCCTGCTGGCCCCCTGAGACCCACTACGGCCCTGGCCCTTCTTCCCACAGGTGGCTGGCCTATGTCCTCCTGCTGCTTTTGGTGCTTTTGGTTTGCCTCTTCACCCTCCTGGGCCTGGCGAAGCAGAGCAAGTGGCTGGTGGTCGTGTGAGTGGGGAGCGTGTTGTTGCAGCGCAGGGGAGGGAGACAGGCGGGTTTCCAGCATGCCACATTGCATTGTGGGAAAGACGAAGACTGCATTTGTGCTGAAGGGGGAGAGGTGATCTCTGATATGCTACGGATGCTTTCTCCCTTGGTCTCCACAACAAACCGCACGGAGGAAGTCTGTGTGGCAGGCGACGGACCTGGGGTGATGTGGAGACACATGAGGCCGGCCTATGCTCTTATTAAACCGTTCTCTGAGTGCCAGATAGCATTCTTAGGACTTCATGGAACTCTCACACTCAGCCGCCCAGGGATGTAGGCACTGGCATCTCTCTGTCTTAACGGTGGGAGGTGGTGGAAGCCCATTGTGGCTAGGTCAGGGCCACACAGCAGGAAGTACTGTGGTACGGGCTCAAATCCAGCCTGCCCATCATTGGAAGAGCCCATCCTCCTCCTCCTCCCTTGGTGCCCTGGGAGAGATGTTCAACTCTCATTCAAGCCTTAAAGACCGATAGGACATACTGTGATGAGCGAGGATATGCCCTTCCTTCCACCGCATGACCCAGAATGATTCTACCCCTCACAATCCTGGACATACGTCAAGACTTAAATAAGCCAAGCTCTGACTTTCAGAAGTCTACTCTAGAACACTCCCCACACCTTAAGGCTTGGAGGAAGAGAGTGTCAGGAAGAGGGTCGCTGAATAAAACGGGCTGTGGATGGGCCTGCAAGCTAGCTCAGGACCTACTGGACCCTGTACAGTGAAATCCCAGGAAATTTAGCTCATGGGTGGACAGCTGCCTCCTAGGGTCCAGGAACAGCTGGGAGGGATGGTGGCTGTTGACCTGCCAGCCAAGACCTTCCTCTCTCCTGTTCCAACTGAACAGATGTTCTATTTGACGTCAGTCTGGGCCTTACCCCAACCGTTTACTCCCGTGTCTCTGACTCTAATCCTCTAGGCTACAGAGGTTGGCGGGTACTGGGGAGGGCCAAGATTAGATGTGGCATGTAGAAAGAGGCAAGGCTGGTTGAGTCTAACCACATCCTCCTCTAGGATGACTGCCATGAGTCTCCTGGTGCTTGTCCTGAGCTGGGGTTCCATGGGCCTGGAGGCTGCCACAGCTGTGGTAAGTATGGGACTCTGGATTCAGGAGTTCTGAACCCTGGGTGGGTGACCTGACTAAAGCCATAAGTCCTAAGGCTTTGGGGAACGTGGTCACAGTTCTGAGGGTTCGGCCTTGTGTGCTGGGTCCCGAGAAAGTAGAGACTGGGGCCTAGAGTGTACTCTCCCCCTGGTCTGAGGAGAGCGAGAATCTGAACCCTTGAGTCTGAGGTAGGAGGGTTGGAGCCTGGACCTCGGAGTTCTGTGGAAATATGGAACTGGACATTTCTGGTCTGAGCCCTCCCTACTTCCTTCATCAGGGCCTCAGTGACTTCTGCTCCAGCCCAGACACCTACGTGCTGAACCTGACCCAGGAGGAGACAGGGCTCAGCTCAGGTGATGGCCCTAAATCCCTGCTGCCCTCGGCACTCCCTGGCACCCCCTAGTGCCCAGTCCATTGTAGGGTAGAGTGCAGAACGGTCTACCAATCCTGGTGGGGAAAGGGCAGGACCAAAATGCCGAGTGTGAGGGAGGGGCTGGGGAAGTAGGCCACAGGCCTCAGTGATAGGACTTGACTGTGGAAGAGCAAGGGAGGATAATTAGGTCAGGCGAGTCCACTTCCAGATGCCGGTGAAGCAGAAGGGATGAAAGTATGGGGTGTGATATTGAACAACTATAGTCTGAGCAATTAGGAGGCTGAGGCATGAGTTCAAGGCCAGCCTGGGCGATACAGACCTTGTCACACCCTGTTATAAAACAAAAACAGAATGGGAATTGGAGATGTCACTCAGTCGGTGGAGTACTTCTCTTGCAAGCTGTAAGTTTGATTCTCGGCAGCACGTGAAACTTGGCGTAGTGTCTTGTGCCTAAAAACCTCAGCACTTAGAAAGTAGAAGAAGAAATAACAAAAGTTCAAGGCGATCCTGAGCTATATGACAAGGTCAAGGCTGGTTTGGGTTCCATGAGACTCTGACTCAAAACAACAGCAGCAGACTGAACAACAAAACAAGAGGGAAGAAGAGGGAGGGAGAGGAGATGTAAGGAAAGGAGGGAGGGAGGAGAAGGAAAGGATAGCAGAATGACTTGCAGGTCTTTGAGGCCCCCAAGAAAGTTCCAAACTGGGCGGGGAACGTCCCCTGGGCTGTGGCCCTCCAGCCCCGGGAGAGCCTGGGCACAGGCTCATAGCCTGCTCCTTTCTCTCCCTCCACTTCAGACATCCTCAACTATTATTTCCTGTGCAACCAGGAGGTCTCCAACCCCTTCCAACAGGTTAGGACGGTGGGCAAAAGAAATGGGGATCGAGGAGATGGCTAATGTGGAACCTTATGGGCATATGTTGGGTTGCACTCCTGGGTTCCATGGAGGTGGAGGGTGCCGAGGCCCGGAGTTGTGTACTCTAGCAGACAGATGGCATGGTGAATACCCTGACCTGAGTCCTCCTCTCTCTCATCTCCCTGCAGAAGCTGACTCTGTCCCAGCGAGCTCTAGCCAGCATCCACTCCCAGCTGCAGGGCCTGGAGCGGGAAGCTGTGCCTCAGTTCCCTGCAGCACAGGTTAAGTCAATGGACTGCACCAGCCAGAGGGGGAAGGGGCTGAACAACCTGGTGAACCTGTGGGGTGCTGGCCCCACTCATATGAAGAAGCCGGTTGGCTGGGTCAGATAGACTCGTGGAGCTGGCCCTTCCCCAAGTAGGCAGAGCCTACGGAAAGGGGGGGGGGACCGATGGAGCTGTTGCAGCAACGGAAGTAGAGTGGGGGCTGGGATAGGTATGGAGGCTCTAGGATGCACCTGAACCAGTGCAAACGGGAAGGGCTGGTCCCTTCGGGAAGTGGGGCTCCTGAGTTGAGGGCGGGCATACGTTGCTGGGTAACTGTGTTTGTTCCCTCCCACAACAGAAGCCCTTGTTATCCTTGGAGGAGACGCTGAATGTGACGGAGGGAACCTTCCACCAGTTGGTGGCACTGTTGCATTGCCGGAGTCTGCACAAGGTGCGCTCCTGTGTGCTTGCACGCCCTGCCCTCTGTCTCTTTCTCCTGCCCATTCTCTCTTCCCCTCCTCTTCTCTCCTTCGGCCCCCTTCTCCCTCCCCTCGGCTCTCTTTCTCATCCTCTCTCTCACACACCCTCCCATGTTTTTGGTTCCTCACCTTCTCCCCTCCTCCTTGAAAGCTGCTCAGCCTCAGGCTCCTAGTTCCCTGGGTTGACTGCTAGCTCATGCATCTCTTGATATAAAAGGAGCAGGGGCAGCCTGTTCAAGCTCCGCTGGGGGTCAGCTGTGAGCAGTGCGACCTCAACAGCAGGCCAGCATCTCTGAGGTTCAGTTTCCCCACGGTTACTCCTGTGGGGGAGCAACTGTAAGCATTGCAAAGACTCCCACCCTTACAACATTGAGCATTGTTCTAAATAAGACCTAACTGCTTTCCCTGGCTATAGTCTGCCTGTGATACCCTCCATGCACTCCATGATCCCGGCTCTATGGGGTTCACTAGTTACCTCCATAACAATACCAGGATGACTGTATTTCTTTTATAGTACTCAGGGGTTGAACTCTGATACTCTGGCCCATTAGATGAGCACTCTCATTGTGTGTGTGTGTGTGTGTGTGTGTGTGTGTGTGTATTCATGTAGCCTAGGCTTGCTTCAAACTCGCTGCATAGCAGAGGATGACCCTAAGTTCTGATCTCTTTGTTCACACCGCCCTCCTGAGTGCTGAGATTACAGATGTGTGCCATCGTACACCTTATGAAGTACTGAGGATGGAATCCAAGGCTTCATGGATTTCAAGCAAGCACTCTACCAACCGAGCTATGTCCCCAGCCTCCGACCTTTGTAAAAGTAGTTTTCATTTTGAGGCAGTTTTACTAAGATGCTGGGATAGATCTTAACTCCTAATGTTCTGGCCTTAGCCTCCACACTAGATGGGATAACAAGCTAACAAGCTTTTTCAGACCCAGCAAGGGATATTATTAGGTTTTGTTTGTTTGTTTGTTTGTTTTTGTTTTTTGTTTTTGTTTTTTTCAAATCCAGAGGCTGAGAGAAGACGGTTGAGTGGTTTGTCCAGAGGGCAAGGACCTCATGGAAGTGTACTGAGTTGCTTCTGGTCTGCACCGCTAACTAAGCATGGCTAGTCTGTCCCCTTATGCTTTTGAAACATTTTTACCCATACACCACCCAAGGGCTCCCTGCAGATCAGATCCGGAGGACATGCTTCTTCGTCACCTTCTGGTCATCTGGGATACCACAGAATTAGGATATACTCTCAGCAAACAGACTCCTCTCTACAAGGAGACCCAAGCAACACCCGGGAGTCCTTGTCCCAAATCACTATTTGCTGGGTATCCAAAGTCGGAATTAATTCGGTATCCTGAATTAGTGAACCAAGAAGCACTGAATAGGTATCCGACAAGGGCTAGGGAGGGGTCCTTGCTTCTTTACACAATGGCATGCTGGGGCCCCAACACTGTTTTATGCTGCTGTCTTCTGACTCATGCACATGTTGAGCTCCAGTACTGGTTCCAAGATGAGTGTGAAGGGAGAGATGAGGGGTCAGAGTCTGTGCCCACCATTGGCAAACCAACCACATGACCCCCGGGCCTTGGTTCCCCATCTAGGCCTTTTTTTTTTTTTTTTTTTTCTTTTTTGTTCCCACGTGTTAAATTAGGGACAAGACTGAGGATATTGCTCAATCTACAAAGTACCTGCCACACAATCATGAGAACCTGAGTTTGATCTCCAGAAATCATGTAAAAATCAGAGCATATGGTGCTGGTTTAAAATCCCAGCACCGAGGAGGCAGAGATAGTTGGATATTTGTGGCCTTCTGGGCAGCCAGCCTTGCCTAGTTGGTGAGTACTAGGTCCCAGTGAGGGATTTCAAAAACAAACGAAACCTCACTGACAGACAGTGGTGGCACACACCTTTAATCTGAGCACTTGAGGGGCAGAGCGGGGCAGATCTGTTGTGTTTGAGGCCAGCCTGGTCTACAGAATGAGTTCTAAGACAGCCAAGGCTACACAGAGAAACTCTGTTTGGAAAAAGAAAAACAAATCCAAAATGTATTTGAACTTTAATCTTTGCCCCCACCGCACATACACAGGCATCCAAACACCCTTCTGCACGTACACACACACACACACACACAGAGAGAGAGAGAGAGAGAGAGAGAGAGAGAGAGAGAGAGAGAGAGAGAGAGAGAATAGGGACAAGGCATTAGGATAAGAAAGAATGGGCTGGGTGTGGTGGCCCACACCTTTCATCCCAGCCATTCCAGAGACAGAGGCAGGTAGATCTCTGTGAGTTTGAGCCCAGTCCGGTCTACAAAATGAGTTGTAGGCCAGCCAGCCCTATAGGGAGAGGTCGTGTCTAGACGACAGGCAAGGGGGAGGTGTCTCTAGAATTTATGAGACTTGGTTCAAGATTCAGCTCTGTCCCTTCTAGACTGTGTGACTGTACAAGTAGATTGCCCACTCCAGGCTAAGCTGCTTCTTCTTCCTCTTCCTCCTCTTCTTCTTTGGTTTTTAGAGACAGAGTTTCTCTGTGGTTTTGGAACCTGTCCTGGAACTCGCTTTTGTAGACCAGGCTAGTCTCGAACTTACAGAGATCCACCTGCCTCTGCCTCCCTAGTGCTGGGATTAAAGGCGTGCGCCACCACTGCCCGGTTTAGGCTAAGTTTCTTTCCACAACTACCAAAGGCAGCATCACATGGGACTGTTGCGAGGGTGTGTGGCCCTAGTACATGTGTGTCTGATGCAAACCTAACTGGTTAGTGTCCTGGTAGGCTCCTCACCCCATGCTTCATTTACACAACAGTAGGAGCCCTCCTTCACCCCAGAACTTGAACCAGGAGGTCAGGACTGTCCTAGCTCCCTGCCCTCACTTCCCACTGCATCTGCTGCTCACACAGCCACCACTGCTGCAGACCCTGGCCCTCCTCACCTCCCGCCCAAGACCACAGCCTCTTGCATGCTCATCTTGTGCTTTGCATCTGTCCAATGACAGCTGGTGATCCTTTCACACACAATCGGATCAGAGTCTTCCTCTAAAAGCCCTTTCGTGAATCCCCCTGCACGAGGATTAAAGCCAGGGCTGGCACTGACCTAGAGGAGCCTGCATAGACAGCCCTAGCCAGCGAGCCCTCTGTGCCCTCAGCCTTGGAGGTTCTATCCTTGTCCTCCATCCACATCAGCCCAGCCACCTGCCGCTGTCTAGACCTAACCATCCTCCTGAATCCTTGTGTGCCTTCTCAAACGGCCTCTGCTGGGCACTGCCCTAACATCTTACAGTCCTACCGGCTCACCAGCCTCCAAAGCTGCCTCCTTGGCCCCATGTACCAAAGGCTGTCAGGGCTGGGGGCACACCTGGAGAAAAGATGGCTTAGTCCATTCCTACAGAATGAACCAGCATGTTGGCTGTACCACTGAGCATTGAGGCCACAGTGGTTCTGCTGGCGTCCAGGGTGCCAAACCCTGTAGACAGCCTTTTCTGCGTGTATATCATGTATGATATCCAATCCTAAGTATTACATAAGCCAGTGGTTTGTGGGTCCCACGGGCATTTGACGACTGCAAGAAATGATGCTGGGCATCCTCATCTGTTGCTAGCACCTGATTGTGACAAGGACAGGCAGGGCTGGTGCTGGCAGGAGGTAGCAGTATAGAGGCTCGCCCAGCGAGAATCCCGGGAGGGCAGCTCTGTGGGTGCTGAGCGAAGATGCCAGACCACTTTGCATGTGGGGTTAAGACGTGAGACCGTGAGACAAAATGGGAATGGGTTGTGGGGCTGCAGCTCAGCAAAGGGCCCAAGGAGAACACACGGATGGCTTTCCATGTTCGGAACACGTTGCTCTCTGGCAGGAGGCTATGCTTGGGCACGGAGAGCCTGGGCGACGCATGCAATACCACACAGCCGGGTGTGGGTGGATGGTGGGACCTGTGTACCGCGTGCACGTGTGCACACTCTAAGGCTTACCGTCTGCCTCAGGACTACGGCTCAGCGCTCCGAGGCCTGTGTGAAGACGCCCTGGAGGGCGTGCTCTTTCTGATGCTCTTCTCCTTCCTGTCTGCGGGGGCCCTGGCCACCACCCTTTGCAGCCTGCCCCGTGCCTGGGTTCTCTTCCCGCCCAGGTCAGCAGGGGAGAGAGGGCAGGGTCCCCAGGGAGGGGACAGGAGGCAGCACCCAGGGCCACTGGTGGGGATGGGGCAGCCTCCTGATGGGTTCCCATCCTGCTTCTCTGCCGCTCCCCACACCACACTTCAGTGATGACTACGATGACACAGATGATGACGATCCTTTCAACCCTCAGGTACAGACCCTGGTCTGAGGAGGAAAGCCGGGACATTGGCCCCTGGGTTTGAGGGACCTGGGTTGGGTCTGGGCCTCTGAGTTTGAGGGACAAGGACTGGGGTTGGGATCCTGGGTCTGAGGGAAGGAGAGATGGGTGCTGGACTCCTGGGTCTGAGGAAGGGATGGATCCTGTGGGAAGAGGGATGAGTCCTGGACCTGAGGGAGGAGGCAGGGCCCCACAGCATGTGACAGAGTCTGTCTGTCTGTCTTCTCCCTTTATCTTGTTAGGAATCCAAGCGCTTTGTGCAGTGGCAGTCTTCCATCTGAGCCTCCTCTCCAGCCTGGAGCCAGCCTCTCCTCTTCGGTAAGTTTCCATGATGCCTTGGTGTTCCGCTGGACCGTGGCTTATGGTACTCGGATGCTGGGTGGGTGTTCATGGGTGTGTCTCGGGCCTACATCAGCTCATCTCTCCCTCTCTCTAGCTCCTTCCCTGGCTGCTGGAGAAGGCCCCACTAACCTGACCCTGACTGGGCCCTGACCACTAACACTGCTGGCCATGGACATCTCACATAGGATGACGTTCTGCTCTAGCCCCAACATTCCCCCATCCCCCTTAGCACATGGGACTGCTGAGGTGGCAGAGCAGGGGACCAGGGCCAGCTGGAAAGGGGTTACCTACACCCGGTGTCCCTTACCTCTGGCTAGCTGCCAGTACTGTCCTTGGAGGGACTAAGCTGGAGGCGGGGTGTAAGGATGTCTCTGCTCCTGCCATATCCCGGCAATCTCAAACTGGGGCACTTACGTGGAAGAGGGTTGACTTGAAATAAAAGGGAAGGTTGTTTTACAAATAGCTAGGACCTACCTTCTTATTTTCTTATTTCTTCCCTTCTGGGAGAGGAGACCCCTTTCCCTGGTAGTTGAAAAGCAGTTCTCCTCTTGTCTAGGCTCAGCATCACTCCGGTTCTGAAAGTCACAGGCGTATCCTGACAAGGGAGGAGGCAGACCCCAGGAAGAGAATAAACCTAGCACTAGATCTAAACATGCGTGCATCCACAGGAACAAAGTCAAGCTCCCAGCCACGTGGAATGTCCAACGCCTGGTGGGTTTAGGAGCTGTGCGGATTCATGTCGCTTCTTAGCCGCTCAAATCCAGCACAAGACGTCAAAAGTCTAAGTGTGTGGCATTAAAGGGACAGCAGTATTCAAAGAGAGAGTAGAGTATTCGCATGTAGTGTTGCCAGCGTGACGTAGAGGGGAAATTTTAAGGAAGATAATAAATCTAGACAGGAAAAAGATGAGGCAGTCAATAAAGTACAAACAAACATGGCAGAGTGAAAGGGGAAATGTATTGTCTGGGTGGGAAAAAAACACCTGTGTAGTTTGTTTTTTTTGTAAAGAGGAAAAAAAAAATAGCACACGTGACAAATAATTCACAGGAGTTTCTTTTGTCTAACAAAAAGACGACTCCGTTTAAAAAATTAGCAGCTGAGATGAACATGCAAAGAAACAAAAACCTCAAGACAGACTCAACGTTCTAATAGTTTCCAATCACAGTGTGATACTCCCTCACCCAGTACTTACGTATCGTGACGAGAGTGGGGGGTGCTGCCTGGTGCTGTTCTAGAAGCCCAGGGAAGAGGTGCTCAAAACATGCTGCCCAGAGGCTGTGAGTTCCCAGTTATGTGAAAAAGAAAAAAGAGAGAGAAACCTGCTCCTATGGGAGAGAATGGAAACTACGTCTCTTTTGACCTGGTGACCCTCTGGGGAAATTCAGCTCCCTGAAAGAGAACAAGCAATGCAAGATGTGTGTGAAGGGTCGTCTGTCCAGGCAACGCCTGGCACAGTTAAATGCTGGAGACAAAAAAAAAGTCCACATAGGGGAGAGAAGTGATCTGCATGGTAGAAGTCTCTGGAAGACCAGTATCTCTGTATGGAAAGCTGGTGGAGCAAGATACTCAAGTTGGGTATGACAAAGTGTACAAATACCAAGGGGCGCAGCCTGAAGGGTCTTGCACGATGGCTGGATGCTTCTGGGCCCCAGTCTCGGAAGCACTGCACTGACCAGGGCAAGTTGTTTGACTCCTTGTACCTTGGTTGCACCATCAAGCAAATGGGTATCGTAATCCAGAAACCTCAGCTCTAGCATGACATCCGGCACGCAGGAAACATTAATGAGAAAACTATCGAAGTCTGAGTAAAATCTGAGGCTTAGTTCAGGGTATTAAAGCAACACCAGTCAGTTTCTTACTTTTAACAAATACACCACGGTGGATCTGAGGTGATAGCAGTAGGGAAAAAAGCGTATTTGCCCAACTGCTGTAAACCCAAATTTATTCTAAAATAAAAGTTCATTATAAAAAAAAGAGATGGGAAGGAACTTACCGTACTAATGGTAACAAAATGATACGAAGTTATCTGTTTTGTGTAATTACCAAAAGTCTCTAGTACAAAGTGTGACCGGAAGCTGGTCTATAAACTACTATTCATTGACTATTTCAACAGGGACCCCTTTTCCCTGGCACAATTCAACCATTCCTGCTGTAAACAATGCTTTTTTTTTTTTTTTATTTTGTATTTCGAGACAGGGTTTCTCTGTGTAGCTTTGGAGGCTGTTCTGGAAGCAGCTCTGTAGACCAGGCTGGCCTCGAACTCACAGAGATCCGGCTACTTCTGCTTTACGAGTGCTGGGATTTAAGGCAAGTGCCACCAGTGCTGTAAACAATTAAGTTCTAAGAAAAGCCTACTGTAATCCCATCACTCGGGAGGCAGAGGCAGGAAAACCTCTGGTGAGGTCGAAGCCAGCCTGGTCTAGAGAGAGTTCCAGGACAGGCTGCAAGGACCTCCAAGGACACACAGAAACCCTGTCTCAAAACAAAACAAAAAACAAAAAAAAAAAAACGCCTATTGTGACCAGGCGTGATAGTGCAAAACTTCAGTCCCATGGGGGGGGGGGGCTGATCTACAGTCATGCACGTACTTACAGGCTCTGTAAGCTTCCTCGCCCTACACGTCCCTCTACCCCAGCTACCTTCCCAGCGTCACAGCCCAATGGCTACTCCCCCTGCCCAAGCGACGCCTGTTTTCCTGCTTCCTTGGGGGTTCGCACTCTATGCTCCCCACTGGCGCCAGTGGGGGTGCGCCATTCCAGGCTTATTCACCCTGCGAGCCTACCAGGTGGAGAGGATTCACCCTTATCCCACTCCCTTTCCTAAAAACGAAATCAAGGCACCGTGCGCAGCCTCACAACTCAGTCCGTCCCTGTAGCTTCCCCATCTCAGGGCTAACGCCTACCGCAGCCCGGAGCCAAAAATTGGGCTCGCTTTTGCGGCGCTTGTCCCCGCGGGGCCGCCGTCCAAGCCCAGCTTTAGCCGGCAACGCCCACACGCGGTTGCGTAGGCGGGGACGGGTGGAGGGTTGGCTCAAACCGAGTGCTTGCAGCCATTGGCTGCGCGCGACACGGGGCGAGCGCAGACGTCCTGGTGACGCCATCACGTCGCGGTCGGGACGTCCCAAGCCCCACTAAGAGCCCAGCCGGTGACCGAGCGCTTTCGCGGTTGTCTTTTGTGAGCAGCCTGGGGACGCCGGTATCGAGTCCCGGGAGCAAGCGGTCCTGGTGAGTGTGTGTGTGTGGTGGGGAAGGCGGGCGAGCACAGGGGCGGCTCCGCGCTCCGCGAGCCCCGGGCCCCGGGCCTGCTTGCTTGGGGCCAACCGACGCCGCACCCAGCGTCTGCAAAGGGTGTGGCCGCTGGGGGGCCGCCGCGCATGCGCCACGCCGCGCCGTGCGCGCGCGACCCGCGCCTCTGCGCGTGCGCTCCCGCCGGGCCGCGCCGGGCCGTGCGCGCCTGGGAACGCCGCCGACCCCAGTGCCCCCACCCCGGACGCTCCCCTTGGAGGCCCCATTGACCCGCTGTTACGCGGTGGGTGGGGCGGGGGGGCCACGCCCTGTTGCCCAGGGCAACCCCGAGAGGCCACCCTCGCGGCGTGCGTGGTGCGCAGGCGGTGCAGCCGCGCCGGGGGCTGGCGGCGGCGGTCGCTTGGGTCCGGGGCGGCCTCTTTGCCTCCACCCGGTCGGTGGGTGTCGTGGACCCCATGCCTGCGGGACGGCCAGGTGCTCCTGAGTTTATAGAGTTCATGGTGTCCTCGTCCCCTCAGACCCCCCTCCCCTGCCCGCCTGGGCGTCACCCCCAGCCAGTTCTCCAGTACTGATGGGTGCCCCCCCAGGCTCTCCCACTTGGCTTCCCTAGTTTCCACCCAACGGTCGGTCTGTCTTTTTCTTTTTCTTCTTTTTTTTTTAACCTCTTTGAAGCCTGTCTGTGCTCCTTAGGCTTCCTGTAAGATACCCGGTCCTTCAGTGGACTTTTAACCCTCTTTTTGAGCCCCTCGAGCCCAGTCCTTCACGTTTCTTCCAGTACGATCCACCGTCCACCCTCACACACCCTCCCTCCCCCGTTGGTTTCTTGGGACTGTTGTGAGCCTCCCCTCCCACAGCATCCCCAAAGCTGTAACTGCATAAACCCTACCTACCCAAGGGATTGCCTGTTGTTTCTCTCAGACCAGCTCCTGCCCCCTACGAACAACCCATCTGTGCCCTGGGGACTCTTAATCGATTCAGATGCTGACAGCCAGTGACTTCACATAGAGTCGCCCCCCTTTCTGCTGCTCCTCAGTGGGACGTCCCGAGATGCCCCTTTTCTCCGGAAACTTTGTTCTGTGCCCCAGTGTTCTCGAAGTCTCCATACTCCTCAGTGTGTCTCTTTAGATTCCCTACCTAGGACTGGGGCCCTCCCCATACACTCTCCTGGTGACTGTCGTCATCTCCTCTGACTTTTATTCTCACACCCTGCATTTTAGGAAGTCCAGTGGCTTCCTTTCGTGCTCCAGTCTCGTTGTCCCGCCCTAGGAATTCTGTCTTGGTCCTTTTGGCTGTTTGTTTCGGAGACAGGACTTCAACATGTAGCAGGCAGGCCTTCCGCTCCCAAAAGAGTTCTGGGATTGCAGACGTGAGCCGTGGTGCTTGGATGCTCTTCATACTTTGCCAGTGCTCTGTCTTTCCCGTCTGTGCTCTTGTGGGTTCAACCTCCTCTCTTCTTCCTAACTCATGGCTTTTCTTAAAGACAGTGATAAAGCAGTCTGGCTCCCGAGGTCCACTCTCTACACCCCAAGGTCCAGATGGCGGCCAACGTGGGTGATCAGCGCGGCGCAGATTGGTTAGTAAGGCTAGGGGAACACAGCACCTTTTGGTGGGAAAGAGGAGCAAGACACACTGGGGCCTGGAACAGCCTGGGAGAAGAGATCACATTGTAGGGCCTAGGATAGGGGGACAGGCTCCCCTCTGAGCTTTCTGTGGGCATTCATATACATGGAGGTCAGAAGAGGCGTGAGATCCCTCGGAGCTGACTGATGCAGGTGCTGGGAATTGAACTTGCAATGTCTGCAAGACCAGCAAATGCTCTTAAACACTGAGCTATCTTTCCATCCCCCTCTTACTGTATTTATGATACCCCCCCATTGTTGGCTATATCAGAATTCATTGGCTTGTAAAAGATTGAGTCTTCCTAAGGTTGTAGGTCATGTAAAGTTTTGCACACACTAGTCAGCCTTCTGTTT